AACAAGTCGTTACTAAATATGTGAGGCTTGCCAATACAAAACACACTGCCACGTTGCTAGGGTGGTGTTAGTGGTTGCTAGGGCGTTGCTATGCAGTTGCTAAAGTGTTTTGGGTGACTGTTGTTAGGGTGTCGTTGCTAGGATGGTGCTAGTGGTCACTAGGATGTTGCTATGCAGTTGTTAAAGTGATTTGAGTGACCGTTGCTAGGGTGTTGTTGTTAGGGTGGTGTTAGTGGTTGCTAGGGCATTGCTGTGCAGTTGCTAAAGTTGTCTGGGTGACTGTTGCTAGGGTGTCATTGTTAGGCTGGTGTTAGTGGTTGCTAGGATGTTGCTATGCAGTTGTTAAAGTGATTTGAGTAACTGTTGCTAGGGTGTCGTTGCTAGGGTGGTGTTAGTGGTTGCTAGGGTGTTGCTATGCAGTTGCTAAAGTGTTTTAAGTGACGTTTGCTAGGGTGTCGTTGTTAGGGTGGTGTTAGTGGTTGCTAGGGCATTGCTATGCAGTTGCTAAAGTTGTCTGGGTGACTGTTGCCAGGGTGTCATTGCTAGGGTGGTGTTAGTGGTTGCTAGGGTGTTGCTATGCAGTTGCTAAAGTGTTTTAAGTGACGTTTGCTAGGGTGTCGTTGTTAGGGTGGTGTTAGTGGTTGCTAGGGCATTGCTATGCAGTTGCTAAAGTTGTCTGGGTGACTGTTGCTAGGGTGTCATTGCTAGGGTGGTGTTAGTGGTTGCTAGGGCATTGCTATGCAGTTGCTAAAGTTGTCTGGGTGACTGTTGCTAGGGTGTCATTGCTAGGGTGGTGTTAGTGGTTGCTAGGGTGTTGCTATGCAGTTGCTAAAGTGTTTTGAGTGACTGTTGCTAGGGTGTCATTGTTAGGGTGGTGTTAGTGGTCGCTAGTGCGTTGCTATGCAGTTTCTAAAGTTGTCTGGGTGACTGCTGCTTGGGTGTCGTTGCTAGGTGTGTTGATATGCAGTTGCTAAAGTGTTTTGGGTAACTGTTTCTAGGGTCTTGTTGTTAGGGTGGTGTTAGTGGTAGCTAGGGCATTGCTATGCAGTTGCTAAAGTTGTCTGGGTGACTGTTGCCAGGGTGTCATTGCTAGGGTGGTGTTAGTGGTCGCTAGTGCGTTGCTATGCAGTTTCTAAAGTTGTCTGGGTGACTGCTGCTTGGGTGTTGTTGCTAGGTGTGTTGATATGCAGTTGCTAAAGTGTTTTGGGTAACTGTTTCTAGGGTCTTGTTGTTAGGGTGGTGTTAGTGGTAGCTAGGGCATTGCTATGCAGTTGCTAAAGTGTTTTGGGTAACTGTTTCTAGGGTCTTGTTGTTAGGGTGGTGTTAGTGGTAGCTAGGGCATTGCTATGCAGTTGCTAAAGTGTTTTGGGTAACTGTTTCTAGGGTCTTGTTGTTAGGGTGGTGTTAGTGGTAGCTAGGGCATTGCTATGCAGTTGCTAAAGTGTTTTGGGTAACTGTTTCTAGGGTCTTGTTGTTAGGGTGGTGTTAGTGGTAGCTAGGGCATTGCTATGCAGTTGCTAAAGTGTTTTGGGTAACTGTTTCTAGGGTCTTGTTGTTAGGGTGGTGTTAGTGGTAGCTAGGGCATTGCTATGCAGTTGCTAAAGTGTTTTGGGTAACTGTTTCTAGGGTCTTGTTGTTAGGGTGGTGTTAGTGGTAGCTAGGGCATTGCTATGCAGTTGCTAAAGTGTTTTGGGTAACTGTTTCTAGGGTCTTGTTGTTAGGGTGGTGTTAGTGGTAGCTAGGGCATTGCTATGCAGTTGCTAAAGTGTTTTGGGTAACTGTTTCTAGGGTCTTGTTGTTAGGGTGGTGTTAGTGGTAGCTAGGGCATTGCTATGCAGCTGCTAAAGTTGTCTGGGTGACTGTTGCCAGGGTGTCATTGTCAGGGTGGTGTTAGTGGTTGCTATGGCATTGCTATGCAGTTGCTAAAGTTGTCTGGGTGACTGTTGCCAGGGTGTCATTGTAAGGGTGGTGTTAGTGGTTGCTAGGGTGTTGCTATGCAGTTGCTAAGGTGTTTTGAGTGACTGTTGCTAGGGTGTCATTGTTAGGGTTGCTAGGGCATTGCTATGCAGTTTTGCTATGCAGTTGCTAAAGTGTTTTGGGTAACTGTTGCTAGGGTGGTGTTAGTGGTTGCTAGGGTGTTGCTATGCAGTTGCTAAAGTGTTTTGGGTAACTGTTGCTAGTGTGTTGTTGTTAGGGTGGTGTTAGTGGTTGCTATGGCATTGCTACGCAGTTACTAAAGTTCGCTCAAGTGTTGTGAATGGTTGCCAAGTTAAACTAAGCATTTTGGATGTAGTGATTATCCTGTGTTGGTATGCTTCTTGCGTTGCTAGGGTGTTCTGGCTGGTTGCTGTACGTTTACATTAACGTTTAGGGTTTGATCACATTATTTTGAGCAGTGTGTTTATTTGTTTACTGTCCTTTTGAGAAATAAGACTATGAATGTATGTGTGGACGTTTGGAGCTGTAATGCTCTCTCTCACACACACACACACACACACACACACAAACACACACACAGTCATTCTCCAGTATGTTTAACATCTGGATGTAATGTCAGACATCAGTAATTTCTGATACTCACCTCACATGATTAGCGACAGAATCACCAGCATGACTTTATCCTGCAGAACTACCAAAGGCTTCGGTTGAAAAATACACATTTTATGCATGAAAAATGCATCTGGTCACATCTGCACACAACCTTTTCATAAGAACATGGTATAGAAGAAAATCAATTAAATCCAAAGCTCTTCTCAGATCGAAATGACAGAAAATACTCAGAACACCCCAAAATACACACATATTTGGATTTATTAAATTTATTGTATATAAAATTTCATTTCAATCTCAGTCGACAGAGTTGATCATTTCACAGGTGAATTTAATGAAAACCGCAGGAAAATTATTTACCTCAAATTGCAAGAAATGATATTCTGCACAAAGAAAATGAAGCTGCTTGTTTTATAACAATCAATTTGTCATTACTGTGATGCACCTTGATATTCTCTTTAGACTTTTTTCGAGTCTAGAGTCAGTATACAACCAATGCAACTATGATCTGTCATCAGCGCAAAACATAATTGATTTCGCATCAGAATAACGAGATTTGGGGTGAATGTCAAAGTGCAAACAAAAAATTTATTTTCTTCATGCATTCTGCATTTTTATTTTTGCATCCAGTTATCATTTGTTTTATATTACTGTAAATAATAGATTTATTTTATAAAACCAATGCAACTATTACATGCAAATAACGCTTGTTATATATTTGATTTTGGATCAAAACAATGAGAATTGGGTTGAATTTACATGAAAATAATGCGGTGCACTAATGCAAACCTAATTTTCTTTATGCATTATTTTTTTTTTAGCTTGTATTATTTTCTTTAGATTACTGTAAATAATATATTTTAAAAAAAAATTCAATCAACAAATTAAAGTCAGCACAACCAATGCAACTGCAATCTGTAAATACTACAAAATCTAATTGATTTAAAAAAAATATATTTAGGGTGAAAATGTTCTTAATTGACATTAAAATACTGACTCAGGGCAAACATAAAACAATTTTCTTCATGCATTTTTTTTTGCAGCTCTCATTATTCTCTTTAAAACACTGTAATAGATTTTAAATTTTAAATTAAAACCAACAAATTAAAGGCAGCACAATCAATGTAATTATGATGTAAACCCAACAAAATATAATTGATTTTGCATTCAAATAAAAAGAAATGGGGTGAAGTGACAAAAAAAATTATTTTCTCCGTGCATTCTTAATCCATTAAAAATAATGGATTTTATTTCAGTTACCAAATGAAAGGCAATACAACTACATTCTGTAAATCTGTAAATAGGATTAGGAATAATGATAGCGGGGTAAATTGATATGATAATAATGCCACAGTGCAAACAAAAAAAGTCAGTTTTCTTCATGCATTCTTCATTTTTCTTCTACTGTAAATCATATTTAAAAAAAAATGTATATCAACAAATTAAAAGCAGTACAGCCGATGCTGTACATACTGAAAAAATTGCATTAAAGTAAAGGTTCTTAAATAATGCCACAGTGCAAAAAAACGTATTTTTCTTCATGCAAAATATAATTTCTTTCTCTTTTAGCTTGTGATCTGACACGTGTTCTTGATACTAGCGCTTGTATAAATAGTAACACGAGAACACTATTATATGTGAGCCTGGAGCACAAAAGCAGTCTTAAGTCGCTGGGGTATATTTGTAGCAATAGCCAACAATACATTGTATGGGTCAAAATTATACATTTTTCTTTTATGCCAAAAATCATTAGGATATTAAGTAAAGATCATGTTCCATGAAGATATTTAGTAAATTTCCTACCGTAAATATATCAAAACTTAATTTTTGATTAGTAATATGCATTGCTAAGAACTTCATTTGGACAACTTTAAAGATGATTTTCTCAATATTTAGATTTTTTTGCACCCTCAGATTCCAGATTTTCAAATATTGTCCTATCCTAACAAACCATACATCAATGGAAAGCTGATTTTTTATAAATAAAAAATAGTTCCGGTGCTTGATTCTGATTGGCTGAGCCACGTTCGAAGCTGTTGTAAATGACTCTACAAAGTAACACACACC